TTGACTGCGTCTTACTACCACTTAGTAAAGTCACATTCAAGCACTGCTGTTGGAGCAGAGCTGTCCCACAACTTCCCAAGGAACGAGAGCACATTGATATTTGGATCGCAGCACTCATTGGACCCGCACACCAGTGTGAAGGCACGCTTCAACAACTATGGCATGGCCAGTGCCCTTGTCCAGCATGAATGGCGACCCAAGTCACTCGTCACCATCTCCGGCGAGGTTGACACCAAGGCAATTGAGAAGAGCACAAAAGTTGGTCTGTCATTGGTGCTAAAGCCTTGAGATGCACAGCTGGGACCCTATGTTTTGAAAGAAAAAAAGTTCAGTTCTGCTGGATTGGAATAACATGGCCCCAGGTCATCTCTTCGCGCTTTCATTTTGATCTTGAATTCCTCCTTTGTCCACATAATCTGTTTCCTAGGCAAATGTTAGCCTTGACGACCTCATTATTTTGATTTGATCATCAGCGCCTGTCAATAATTTCTGGTGATTAAGACCTGTTGTGAATCTTGTCAAATGTGACAGATTGGCGGTTACAGACAGCGTGTTCAATTCATTCCTTGATGCCCTTGTCCAGTTGATCCATTTGATGTGTGAGTAATTAATCCTCTTCGATGCATGCTTAGTACTCCCTCTGTAACTAATATAAGAGCATTTAGATCATTGAAGTAGTTAAGTTATCTAAACGCTCTTATATTAGTTTACGGAGGGAGTACTAACATTGTTTGAGGAGCTGCGTGTTGTGGTATTAGTGGTAACGATTTAAGCTAAAAAGCCCCTTACACGGCGCCCAAGAATCTGCTCACGACTGGGTCTATTTTCGCACGGCGCAGGGTATCGACGACGGCAGTGGCGAGAGCTCCTCCGTGTGTGTGTGTGAGTGAGTGATTGCTCGGCTTGCTAGTAACGAGGGTAAGCGTATGGCCATGGCTCCCGCGACACCGCGCCCGCGGCCGGCGGCGCCGCGTTGATCTCCCTCCTCCGGCCGTCATTTCAACCGCCGAGACCAGATCTGGGCTGCTCTCCGCGTCGTCTCTCAGCTGCACTCCCTCTCCCCTTCAGGCTCTCGAAGCTCTGCTCATGGCCCTCGTGTCCGCGTCGTCATCTCCGACTCCGTCGGAAGCACTGGCCGCGGCTGCTCTTGCCTCCCGCATGGCCGCCTCGGCAGCTGGCGGCCGTCTGTCCCGTGCTGGGCTCCCGCCGAGGCCAGATGTGGCAGCACCTCCGATGGCGCAGTCGGGCATGCGCTCTCTGCCTCGCCCCCGGCTTCCTCCGACCGGTGTCGCCGCGTTTTCCGCCCTGGACGCGGCGCGTGCTGCTCCAAATCGTGCTCCTGGCCTGCTGGTTGGAGGGCTTGGATCCCCTG